CCAGTGCAACTTAGATGTGTTTGTTACTTGCCAAAACCATCTTCCATATAACTCTGATAGTAGTGATGATAAATTATAGACACTGAGTTAAAGTGATCCTTGACTATCTTAGCCAAAAGCAAACAGTGCTTGGTAGATATGGATTGTATTTTCATAAACTTGCAATTTTATATTGTAAATGTATTTCAATGTGCTGCTTTAATTCACAATGTTTGCCTCAGATCTGTGAGCTGCTGAAGCACTAAGTTTGAAGTTCCGACAAGCAGATCTTGTCTTCAGGTAGATCAAACGTTTTGTGGAAGGCTGAATCAGTCTTCACTTCCAGTAAGAAATGTTGGCTATTTATTATGTCATAAAGACACAGTAAAATGCATCTTAGATTTTTGTGTTTCTTTGTTTAGAGTATTTTTGTTTAAACCCCATTTTTAATTTTCTGCATCAAGTTAACAGCTGGGTTAACCGTTGCATCAAACAGAATGATGTGTGCTAGTAAAATAGAGGTTCAGTTAATGTTTCCCTTTCATCAATTTCCATTGTAAAATGCAGCAGCTGGAGAACTTTGAAGAACCACAATAGTATGTACACGTAGCTACTTGACTTTAAAGCAGTGTTTATTTTTTGAGGTAGTAATTTTTTTCGAACGCTTTGAAGTTCTGGTCATCATCTCTAGAGATGGCTTTGTAAAAAGATTACATGAGAGTTGATTCTTTAACGGGATTAAATCAGTGTTTTTGTTTTTACCAGCTATTACTATGCTACAGACTGTGTGGGGCAGGGCAGGTGTAGGATTTTATCATGTTTGACTATATTCCTGTGTGGATATTTACTTTCTTGACATAACTGTATTATGATAATGAACAGGGTGGTAAGAGATTTCCTGTTTTGGCAGATTCATAATCACAGAACATGGCAAAAGTGATTTTTTTGTGTGGTGTTACACCAGTCTCTTTCAACAGCAGTATGCATACATGTACACAACTTAAAATGTCCACATATGTGGAGCTGGAACCCCTGATTGGTCCAGGCTTCTGAGGAGGATGCACACAGGTCTTTATAAATGTTTTGCACTTGAATATGATAGCCGTACTCTGCGTATGGCCTTTCCCCAGTTGATGGAGAAGTTAACTTTTATTTATATTTTCCTGGATCTTTGTTGGGGTATGTTCTTACACTTTTGGGCAGCTTCACCTATACCTTAAAACTGATCTCATTTAGTATTAGTTATATCTAACCTCTTTGAAATATATGTTTAGGGAAGTTTTTAATGTTTGATAATGTTGCTTTTTTATTATTGCTATTGGTGTTCTGTTGAGAGCCATCCAGAGTGGCTGGGGAAACCCAGCCAGATGGGTGGGGTATGTATGCATGTATAAATTATTATTATTATTGATTGATTAATTAATTAATTAATTATTAATGCCTTTTTAAACCTTTTCTACCTGCTTTAAGACTGAGGTAGGAAAAAATAATGTTGCAGTTGGCCCTTCTCTAGGAAAGACTTTTCCATAACAAAAATCACATGTTATAACTGGTGTGGCTCCATACTTCAGGTGATAATTGTGCTCCTCACTTAAAAACACGACACATGTAAAGTGTGAAGGATATTCTAAACTTTGAGCATCAAGGTATTTACATCACAGGGGCCGTTGCTAAATCAGGACTATGCGGAGATGTGCGCATGGATCTGAATCAATTTTAGTTGCATAAGCAGACAGTGACTTTGGAAATTAATGCATGTATATACAGCAGCTTTGGTCTTTTGGCAGTCATTAAGTGGTTAGTCTGAAACTAATTAAGCCCCATGAAGGATTTATGGCATACCTTGTCATCTCCCTTAAATATGTTTTTCACATTGTTGTAACATCTTCTAAATGGAATTTTAATGCACGCTTTAAACTTGATACTGATTAGCCAGTACAAACTATCTTGAATTTTGGGCGGGAAAGCCCTAGGCACAAATCCTGCTGCAAGGTCCTCCAGGGTGAGGAGGTTCGCATCTAGTGGAAAGGAAGCCCTGTAACCAAGACCCCACCACTCCCCCCCCCTTATGGGGGGAGGGAACCATGTTTAAAACTGCTAAGTAAAGATAGCTATCCACCTGTCCCCTCCCTCTCCCTGCCCTGTTTCCTCCAATTGGGGTTCCCACAGGTGATCACCCCCAAATGGTAATGACAAGAGTAGCAAGGCTGGTTGCGCCAGTGATTTTTGAGGTACCACTTCAGCTGACAATGGGTAGACAATGGGACCCTGCCCGACTTCCCTTGTGTGGTGGCATTTCTTTGCGTGTTCAGACCCAGAAACCTCCTCCCTAAATAAATTTACATGTGACTCAAAATTTTGGTTTGGTTTTTGGCAGAATTTAGGTCACAACTTTATTGATTACAGAAAGTGACTGGTTACATAGGCTCTGGTTCAACTAGCTCCCTGCCATGCAGGTAGCGCTGACCCAGGGCACCAGCATAGTTCAGTCAAGGGTGAACACCTGGATAAGCGGAAAGCCGGGAACAGGCTAGCTCTGCCATCCAAATGGACTCGGGCACGGGCACAACCCCCTCTCAGGGGTTGACCAAACTATTGAGTCCCTGGATTCCTTTAATGGAATACCTTCACATAGGGATGGCGAGAGTGTTCTCCCATCCCGATCACCTGAACCAGAGCCTATCCGCAACCTTACAAGTTGTGATGATTTGCTACGCGGCAGGTGAAACCCAAATGGCAACAGCCTATCAGCCAAGGTGGGAAAATTCCTGCAGTGCCCCAGTCCTAACGACAGATGACACACAACGACATAGTAAGGTCAAGCGCAACAAGCCCTAAAAGTAGGGAGAGGTGGGTGGGTGTTCCAAATGCATGCACCAAAAGAGGAAGCTCTGGGTCACGTGCATGGGCATAAATAGGTCCCTCAAACCGTTTAGACTGCGTCCCATTGGCCAGATTGTACCCAGCTTTGAGGGACCTACCAATCGGGTGTTGTGGCTAACCAATTGTACCCACCCACAGCACAGGGTGTCTCTTGTCCAGGTCTCACCGCAATACGTGCCCTCTTTAAGGGAGGACCTGATTTGCCTGAGGCTCTCTGCCTATGTGTGTGTGTATATATATATGCAAATGCTGGTAGAGGGTGCCAAACTGGATCTTTGACCCTGGTGAAATAAAGGCTAGTTTCGCCACTGCTTGTATTATGTGCATGTATCTCTTTTAGTCTTGAATAAGTTATGACTGGGTGTGTGCTCACTGGAAGGACAGATCGTGAAGCTGAGGCTCCAGTACTTTGGCCACCTCATGAGAAGAGAAGACTCCCTGGAAAAGACCCTGATGTTGGGAAAGATGGAGGGCACAAGGAGAAGGGGACGACAGAGGACAAGATGGTTGGACAGTGTTCTCAAAGCTACCAGCATGAGTTTGACCAAACTGCGGGAGGCAGTGGAAGATAGGAGTGCCTGGGGTGCCGTGGTCCATGGGGTCACGAAGAGTCGGACACAACTAAACAACAACAAGTTATGTATACTATTCAAGGAAGGTTATAAAGAATTCTGGTTTTGTGTAGGGGTGTCAGAGAATATGTAAGCTTCACCTCTCATGGAGAACCTCTTGTAAAGCTAGAGATTCATTATGAGACACTGACTTGCGATAGCTGTGTTTTGCGATGGCCTCTGGCTTTTGTGGGGGGAAAATTAGAAACCAGAGCCTTTCCATAGTGCAGTAATAACAATATTGCAACCCTTTTCTTTGGGCAAGTTAGTTAGAAAGCTCTCTTTGACTTTAATTATTAGTTTACCCTGCCATGTGAGCAGAGCACCTCCTAAATCCGGTTTGTGCCTTGAAGGCGTGAGAATTTCTCTACTGCTTGAGGTCTGTGCAAATCATCTGCACTACAAAGGAATCACATCTCAGTCCATTTTGGTAATCTGGGAAGGACAAATATTTAGAAACGGCTGTGTAACAATAGCAAAAGGAGAAGTAAATTAAAGTGTGCTGGGATCTTGTCCTAAATTGTATTTGACTTGAAGTTCAGGAAGGAGAAAAATGCCTTCTTTGGTTTAGTTTTTTAAATGGGAGGAGGAACTAGAGCATCCCAAGAAAGCAAAAATAAGCATTTGATTTGTTGTTTTTAAAATAGTGTCTCAACTTTTTAATTTGATTTTTTAAAAAATACATTGGTGTAGCACAAGCTTTATTTTATAATTCAGAACAGTTGAGAAATGGTTTTATTTGTCTTGGCTGTTGCACCTTTATTTAATGTACTTAAAACATTTATCCTCTGTTGAGCTTTAGAGATCACGGTGAACATGTAAAATTAGGAATTAGCAAATAAAACTCTCAGTATAATATTACATCACTGAAATATTGTGGAGTATTTGTGTATATTCTGCACATGAGCAGAAACCTGCTCCACCTGACGTAAATATGCTTCAGAATAAAATAATTAAATGTGCAGTAAAAAGGCACCACAATAAAGGAAAAACTCTGAGGTCCTGTTGTTCTGCCCAGTATCTGAACTAGAGACTCTGAGGCCTGATTTATAGTTGTTGTAGAGAGAAGTGATATAAAATTATTAAATAGTGAGTGACCTGACTTGGTTCTCTGAAGGTTTTAGAGCCTACTTCAGGCACAAAGAGAAATGGAGTTGTGAAAGGTTGTTCTTTGTAACAGACAGACTTTACGAAGCCAGTGGATCCTGAGACAGATGGATGCCAACAAGGGGAAAGTGAAATAAGTAGATTGGCCATGCCTGGTTTAAATACCTAAGAGCCTGACCTTTTGATCCAGCAGGGGAAATTCGGCAGGACCTTCTGCCTGCTGATTTTAGGCATCCAGTTTTTCTAGTTCCTTGTAGCTCAAATCTCCAGCTGTAGCAAGCGGAAAACTGATTTTTGTTTAGTAGTCTTTGTTGGAACTACAGCTGCAGAGAACATTCAGTGTGTGAATTATAGAATCATAGAGTTAGAAGGGACAACAAGGGTCATCTGGTCCAACCCCTTGTAATGCAGGAATCTTTTTGCCCAACACGGGGCTCAAACCCACAACTCTGGGATTAAGAGTCTCATGCTCGACCAACCGAGCTATCAGGATCTTAAGAGGTTAATTCTGTTATTGGTCTAACTGACAGCAAACTTAATTGGCTGGAGGTTCTAGTCTGTTGGGTTTTGGCTGTGAGTGAAGAGGAAGATTGAAATTTGAGTAATGGAGGAATTGGAGAGGAAAGTCGTTCTGCAGGCAGTTTCCTCCCTTTTTAGGCTTGACGTAACAAAGACACCCCCCCCCCTTCATTTCTCATCATATTATATACTGTTCTTGTTCAGTTGGTTAACATTAAAGTATTATCAGAATTTCATTTTCTCTCTGGACTCGATTCTGCTTTATTATTGTCACTCTGATGATGGTGGTTGGACACGTTAAACACACACAAACAGTTAAGTGCAAAGTATTGAACCTGAGATCTTTTATGTACAGTACTTGAATTTAGGAAAATGCCTCTTGAGCAAATACAGTGGTACCTCAGGTTACATACGCTTCAGGTTACAGAGTCCGCTAACCCAGAAATAGTACCTCGGGTTAAGAACTTTGCTTCAGGATGAGAACAGAAATCGTGCTCCGGCGGCAGCAGTGGGAGGCCCCATTAGCTAAAGTGGTGCTTCAGGTTAAGAACAGTTTCAGGTTAACAACGGACCTCCGGAACGAATTAAGTACTTAACCCGAGGTACCACTGTAGTTTGAAGTCCAAGTCAGTCCTCATACACTAAATCTCTTTCAGTTCCTACCTTCCAGCCAGGCAAGCAGCCACACAATTTCTCTGCTATAACAAAAATATTCTGTTTCTACTATAGCTCTATGAAGACCCACTGTGTTTTTTTTTTGGGGGGGGGTTGAGCTGGCTAGTTTTATGTTTTATTTCCTTCTCATTACTGTACTTGGAAAAGCACAAATTTGCTATAAGGTTTAGCCAGATTATTTAATGATGAGAAGCAGTACAAAGTCATGGTTCTGCTCTTAGTATATTTTAGCAGAGCCTGCTGTATGGCTGGCTGCTTATTTAACATATCTGTGAATATTAAAAGAACAATCACATTAAAAATTCACTGGTCCATGGGTTTGTCACATTCTAAATTGCTTAACATTTTGCATTCAATTAGACCAAATGAAAGTTGTTTTTTGTCAGAACAATTTGGTAGCTAGCAATGTCAGTATCTGCTTGCCTTCTTTTTCTTTTTCCGTACTTGCCTACTTTAAAGTGCTTTTGTTTCTGATCTTCATAAGCAACTGATGTTGAGCAGAGAGTGAACGAGCATTGATGGTACTCTCAGTGTATTGTGCATAATTTCCCCTGACCTGAACTGTAGCCTGTATTGTTGGGTAGAAGTGTGATATAGCACACCAACCCTTCTGAGAAATTATAGGGGTGGAGCCAATCCAAACACTGTTTTCATTAGCCTTCAGATTACTGAGAATGCTTGTCAGAAACCTTTGGTTTTGGAGGGTGATGTAATGATCATTGCACACGTTGCTTTTACAAGGCGGGCAAATATACAAAAAAAGCCTTGTGCAGTTCAGCCCTGAGATTGGACATGATGACACTTTAACAAGTATATCTTGGAGAGAGGGAAAAGGAAGGGTCTGTCCAAAGGAAAATGTGAAACTTGTTATTTTGCATTTTATGTACTGTTGGTTGTTACTTTTTATATATAGTTACTCCATTTTTACTAAGGTTATTTGAGAACACTTTGATTAAGATCCTACAACTCAAACATGCATTTATTTTAATATTAAGGCTACATTCCTAAGGTTGCAAGGGAGAGGAACTGAAGGCATTTGAACTGCTTTATCCTGCACCTGGCTGGGCCTATATGCAAGCTTCCAACAACAACTATACTCTTGACACTTTCCCTTTGCCCTTTGACTGTCAGTGGCTTTTCAGACAGGAGTCTTTCTCATCCCTACCTGGAGATACCAAAGATTGATCTGGGACCTTTTCCATACAAAACATGTGGTCTACCATGAGGCAGAGGAAAAGGGAAGGAGAGATTTAGACATGCTCAGAAGTTTATTTAACTTTCTCTCTGGTTTGTGGCCTGTCAGAGTGCCAAGAGGACTTTGGACCCAAGCCACAACTCAAGATAGCAGCCCCCTTCTGCTTCTTCAGATTATGGAACTCTAACACCTGTTGACTTTGAAGGAACCAGCCATGGGGAGGGAGTCTGTGACATCAGATGTCTGACATTGGAGGGGTAGATTTGACCTAACTTGCAGCCCCTGGAATGCCCTTCCAGATATTGTAGGATTACGCTCTGGGTTTCTTCATTTTGACAGTTTTCAGGGTCCTACTATAGAATCATTATTTCGGCCTTTGTTTCCCTACCATTGGGGAAGGCTCAGGGGAGAAGTTTGGTTTTGTAGATGGGTTGTTTCAAAATAGGGATGGATCTCTTACCCACTTGAGAAGATGGCTGCTTCTTTGTAATGCACACTCATCCCTGTAGCTTTCAGATAATTTTCACTTCAAGGGAGAGGTGCCCCTAGTAGGCTGATTTTGTGTGTGTGTGTGTGTGTGTGTGTGTGTGTGTGTGTGTGTGGAGACTTCCGGGTTAGCGCCTCTGGCAATGGCGGATTTCCTCTGATCGGGAGGAATCCGCTCCGTGAGAATTAGGGTCTGGACCGCCACGGCGAGGCAGAGACCCACCAAAAACCACAGGCGGGAGAAGCCTGTGGACGTGGGATTCGGCTGGCACCTTTCGCGCCTCCCCTACTCGCGGGGAAACCCGGTTTCGGGGATCCGGAGCGACGTGGGGTGAATGGCGCAGTGCTTCGAATCGACTGCTCTTTTCACAGAGTGAAGCCGCATTGCTGTTGCCGGAGAGCGCTGACTTTTTCCTGTGGACAATTGGATTTTAAACAACTGCCCGTGAGTAGAACGGAAAATTGGACTATGATTTTTTTTAATTTGGCACCGAAGCAGGAAGGTCTAAACAGGAAGTCCGCCTTCCGCTTTTGTAAATAGATTGAAGCAAAGACATGGCAAGCTAGAGTCTGGAAAGTCGTTTGTAAAGGATTAAATTTTCATCATTTAAAATTACTGAACCCCCCTTGGAAGCAGGAGAAGAGGGGGGCATCTTTTTTTTTTTTTTGGACTGTCTAAACCTGCAGAAGAGAGAGTAAAGAAAGGTAAATTTCCACCGTCTTGAACCTGGGAGCGGGGTGTCAGGACAGACGTTTTGGGGAAGTTCATTGACTGTGGACAAACGTTTTTGACAGATAGTTAAGAGAAATATATTGATTCCATTGTTCCCTTTTGCATTTAAAAGGAACAAAATATCCAAAAAAGGAAAGACTTTGTTGCTAGATCTGCTTTTAAAAAGACGGATACAAATAGAAATTGTTTCCCCTAGAGGGAGCTTGTGAAACTGTTATTAGAGTCGAACTGGGGAGCTTTGCAGCTGTAGAGATTAAAGATCGTGGGACCAGACTTTGACCTTGAAAAAGAATGTGCTTAGAGGAGGCTTTGGTGCTTGCTCTTTGCAAGACAAGTGCTTTATTGGAACAGCTACATGAGAAGATGGATTTGATGACTGTTGTGGTCGGAAATTTTGGACAGGCAGTGGGTACATAGATAGAACCCACTCAGGAATTAATCCAGGAATGTGCTTTGACAGATCAGATAAAGGAGGAGGTTGTTGCTGAACCTCAAGTAGCAGAAATGGAGAGAGCTGTGGCCCAGCAGGAACATGAGTTGTTGGATTCAACGAATGAACCTGGAAAAAGTCAGATTTGGAGAGATGGAGTTCTGTTTGGCTTGGAGATGGGGGGCTGGATGGATCCCCCTATGCAGGGATGTTTTGACCTTTCGAGTCTGGCTTTGGGCCAGGGGGAGTTGTGAGTTGTGGGGGCCCTTAACTTTGGAGGGACTTTGAAACATGCCTTTAAATATCACATGGATTTCAGTGTTGACCATGGAAAATGGGCTGACTTGTCGAGAAGGGACAAAGATATTGTTAAGCTGGAGTCTCCCTGAGAGAAAGGAAGGAAATTAAGAACAAGATCAGCAGAAGACAAAGTAAAGTACAGGTATAAACATGAAGAAGACCTGTGGAAGGGACATGGAAAAGACTTAAGAGCCTCGGATAGAAGGTCACCAGGTTGATGGACTAGATGGATGGGATAGAAAGGACTGACAAAACCCGAGACCAGGAAGAAGAGACGATGGATGAAGATTGGAAGAAAATTTTAAAAATTTATTTAGAAAATTATTGTAAAATTAATGAGGATTAGAAAAATGTTGGAATGAAATTATTTGGCTTTAGCAGAATTGTTAAAAAGAATTATGTAAGAATATGTTATGGTTAAAAGAATTAGGTATAAATAAGATTTAAGTTTTAAGCTTTAGATTATTTATGGTAAGATAAGGTTAAAATAGATTAAGGTAATTTAATGACAGAATATTGTGAAAGATGGAAAGGATTTGCTGAGATAATTAATAACTAGAATACAAAAAAGGGAGGTGTGAGGAGGTCGATGAAATAAGTTAATGAAAGTTAAGGATTTGGGAATATTGGATTTGTTTTTAATTTTTTTGTTTATTTTTGCTTTTTGTTTTTGATGTATTGTGTGTTTTGTTTTTTCTCTTTGATTTTGGTTTTTATTGATTTGTATTGCTTAATTGTGATTTTTGTCTATTTTGTCTATTTTTTCTTTCTTCTTCTTTTTCTCTTGTTTCTCCCTTCTTTTTTCTCTGTAATTTTAAATTCTCAATAAATATTATTTTTTTAAAAAATAAAAAATAAAAAAGATTTTGTGTGTGTGTGTATGTGTGATCAGACCAGCACCTAATTGGTGCTAAACAAATATTTAGTTCATGACAAAACTTTCTGCTTGAGAGCAGCACCTTCATTTCATCTTTGATATGTTTGTATCAACACCACGTGAATAGTCTTTCTGTTTTCTCAAAATTGATGACTGTTTCATGGTCAGTTACTTTACACAGGTTTACTTATGGGGAAATGAAATTGCCCTCATGTGTATTGATCAGGAATCAGCTTCTGATTTGATTCCAAACTAGATTTGATTATGGCACTTCCATG